ATTGCAGTACTGACATACTGCTTCGTCATCTCCCTTCAAAAGGTATTGATGAGTCAGTCGTGTGTGTCCAATTCTCAAACGAGTAAGGACAACCTCAGATCTCCTATCATACTGCCTATTGTGTGTCCAATTTTCTATCAAAGGTTTGATCTCGTGTAGTTTATTGTGGATTTGTGCGTTCCACATATTTTGCCATCTCTCTGCTAGTCGTTTTTTAACGACCAGCTTCAAATCACCTCCTTCAATATGCATTGTATGCTGTGAAGGGCTTGCTGACTTAGCAGCTGTATCAGCTTCTTCATTACCTCTTATACCCACGTGGCCTGGGACCCAACAGAACTTCACAAAAAAATTTCTCGTAGTCAGATGACAAATTAGTTTTCGAATTTTAGTAACTATGGAGTGTGAACTAGGTTCATACGAGATCAGAGCCTGAAGTGCACTAACTGAGTCAGTGTAAATCACGCAGCAGCGATGACCTTTCCTATTTATATACTTTAGGGCTAAATAAATAGCCTGCAACTCCGCAGAAAAGATGGAGGAATTCGGTGCTATTTGTTCTGCCACGATTTCATTTTGGCAAACAAAGGCTAGGCCAACGTAGTTATCCGACTTCGATCCATCTGTATAAATAGGGATTAAATTCCTGTCACAATGTTGAATTTGTGCGAAGTGCTGTCTATAGACGCAGTCTGGCGTGGTTTCTTTGGGGAACTGCTTTAAGCTTAAATCAACATCTATCGCTGGAATTGACCAAGGTGGAATACTATTAACCTCAACCTGTGAGATGTTGCATGTGTTAAGGTCAATTGTGCTGCTTACATTCTCCATTCTTATGATGAATGTGGGGACACTACTTCTCCGAGCTTCAAATAACCTTTTCAGCTGAGTATCTGATACTGTACAATCAACTGAAGGTTTAGTATGCGATTTCTGTTTTATATAATAGAAAAGAGACAACTGTTCTCTCCTGAGAGATAGTGGAGGCTCATAAGCATCCACATACAAACTTTGGACAGGAGAAGTTCGAAATGCACCAGTGCACAAACGTAATGCTTGATGGTGGATTGGATCCAGCATCCGAAGAGTAGATTCTCGCGCAGAGCCATAAACAATGCATCCGTAATCTAGCTTTGAGCGGACAATAGCCCTGTAAATCCTGAGCATAGAAACTTTGTCTGCTCCCCAGGATAAGCAGCACAGTACCTTTAAAAGGTTCAAAGATTTTAAACATCTACTCTTCAAATTGCGTAAGTGTGGTAAGAATGTCAGTTTGGAATCAAATATGACTCCCAAGAACTTTGTCTCGTTGACCATTGGGATTTTAACACCATTTAGGTGAATTTCAGGGTCCAAGTGCAAACCACGCCTTCGGCAAAAGTGGATGCACGAGGTCTTCTCTGTATTAAAAGTAAAACCATTAATCTTGGACCAATTGTCTATGCGATTTAGGGAGGTTTGCAGTTGTCTCTCGATAAAGCTCATGTTGCTAGACTGGCAGGAGATCTGAAAGTCATCCACATACAAAGAGTGTTTCACACTAGGGGGAAGACAGTTAGCGATGCTATTAATTTTAATTAGGAACAGAGTCACACTCAAAATAGAGCCTTGAGGAACACCTTCTTCTTGCGTAAAAGGCCTAGATAAAGTGTTGCCCATCCTGACATGGAATCTTCGATTCTGTAAAAAGTTTTTTATAAAAATTGGCAAATTGCCCCGCAATCCGAATTTGTACAGATCACGGAGTATCCCGTATCGCCAACAGCGATCATAGGCCTTCTCTATATCGAAAAATACAGACACTAAGTGCTGTTGTCTAACAAACGCTTCGCGTATAAATGTTTCAAGGTTCACTAAGTTATCAGAGGTACTTCTGTTCCTACGGAATCCACTCTGATGTGGTGAAAAATAGTTCTTTTCCTCTAGGAGGAACATCAGGCGTCTGTTTACAATTCTCTCATAGAATTTACACAGACAACATGTCAAAGAGATTGGTCTGTAATTAGAGGGATTCTTGTGGTCTTTACCAGGCTTGGGAATGAAACTAACGATAGATAGCCTCCAAGAGTCAGGAAAAGTATGTTCTGTCCATATTCTGTTAAACAGACACAGAAGATTACAAAGCGAATTGTTTGACAGATTTTTAATCATGCTGTAGTGGATTTTATCCGGTCCTACAGCACTATTACCCAAGCGAGAGATCGCTGTATGTAGTTCTATGCTGGTGAATGGCACATTATAGTCCTCATTATATGAATAATGAAAGTTTAAATATTGTTTTTCACTTTGGGCTTTATAAGCCTAAAAATTTCTTGAATACATAATATTGCTGGATGAAGTAGAAAATGTTTCGCCCAACGTATCAGCAATACCCTGTATATCGCTGATTATTGTGCCATTATTTTCCAGCATGGACACAGAGTGAGAAGCATATTTCCCATTAATTTTATGGATTTTATCCCAGACTGCTTTTGAGCTAGTGGAAGATGTTATGCTAGAAACATACTTCCTCCAAGAATCCCTTTGGCTTTGCCTTCTAACTCTTCTGGCATTTGCCTTTGCTTTTTTAAAAGCAATCAAATTTTCAGCAGTGGGGTATCTTCTGAAAATCCCCCATGCTTTCTTTTGTGCTTTAAATGCTGCCTCGCAATTCTGGTTCCACCATGGTTTCGGATGCTTTGGGTATCTTGTTGATGTCTTTCCCATTGTTTTCTCAGCTGCCTGAATAATACTCGAAGTGACAACTTCAACTGCATCATTGATATCAGCAGTATTGACCATTTCCTCAGTGATGTTAGCCAAAGAGGAAAATGCAGGCCAATCTGCCGTTTCCAGTTTCCAGCGTGGTGGACGGGCTGTTTCACAGCTTTCTCTGCCTCGGTATTTTAGAAATATTGGGAAGTGGTCACTAGAGAGTGGATTAGATCCAACCTCCCATGTAAATGCTGAAAACAGATTCGGAGTTGCTAATGATAGATCAATGGCAGTGAACGTTCTTGATGGGGCATGGAAGTATGTCACTTCTCCTGTATTAAATAAATACAGTTGCTGATTGCCAATGAATCTTTCAATGGCCCTCCCTCGACAGTTAATGTCGGGACTGCCCCACATTGGATTGTGACCATTGAAATCACCAAGTAAAAGGAAAGGAGTTGGCAGCTGTTCAACTAGTGTATCCAATTCATCCTCATTGACTCTGACATCTGGTGGCAAGTATATTGAACAGACTGTGACAGTTACACCAATTGAAATTTTGACTGCCACAGCTTGCAGCTCTGTTGTTATTTGTACCGGCAGGGATGGAATACAATTTGAAACCAGAATAGCCACACCGCCACTGGCACGGTTGTGGCTATCATCATCCTTGCGGTAGAGATTGAATCCTCTTAAAGTAATTCTTTCTCCAGGTTTCAGATGGGTTTCCTGGAGTGCCACGCAGAGAGATGAAGTAGATGATGTCAAGTGTTTAATGTCAGAGTAGTTGTTGCGGAAACCACGACAGTTCCATTGGATTATTTTATAATCCATTATGTGTTTGAGGCAGCATTCTTTGTGAAGGTATCCCTCTTTAGTTTTACGGCTGATTTGCCTTTTGGAGGTGAAGTTGGTGGAGTCACCTCCTTATTAGTCTCCTCATCAGAGAAGTCAGAGAACTCACTCATAGACTGAGCCTCTGATCTCTTAGATTTGGAGATGGCTGCTTTTAATTTTTGTTTGTTGAGCGGGTTCTTAGCAGCCTTCTTAGAACCCACGTTTCTTGTTATTACCCCTGTTTTAGGTAGGGGTGTTTTGTTCTTCTTGCTCTCCTTTTCTGCTGTATGTGTAGATGGTATAAGCAAACATTTTTCGTGGCGAGTTAGAGATTCATTTGGTGAAACAGAAATGTCTGTCTGAACTCCACATGTCTTTGTGGATTTCAGAACAGCAGCAAATGTCTTCTGTTTCACTGGTGCATTTAAAGTTACCATGCGTCGTGCCTCTGGGTAAGGTAGATTGTTAACTGTTTTCACGCGCTGAATCTCTTTCTCTCTCTGCCATGCAGGGCATTTTCGGGAGTAGGAAGGATGTGAATCTTTGCAGTTAACACAGCATGGGGTACAGGTACACTCGGTACTCTCGTGACCTTCATCCCCACACTGTGCACATACATTCTTGCCACGGCAAGATGCCTGTGAATGTCCAAACCGCTGGCATTTAAAGCAGCGCAGCGGGTTTGGAATGTATGGTCGAACTGGGCAACGCAGATATCCTGCTGTAATTACAGATGGCAATGTCGGCTTGTTAAATGTCAGAATTAGGTGTTTAGTAGGTATCACCCTTCCGTCTCGACGAATAGAGATGCGTCGGACATTAGTGACACCTTGATCCGAAAGGCCCGTCAATAGATCTGATTCGTCTTCTGACATCAAGTCTGACTCAGATATCACACCACGTGAGGAGTTTAGACTTCCGTGTGGTGTGACCAGAACTCCCATTTCTCCGAGACTTTTTGTTGCCAAAAGCCTTGCTGATTGTTGAGGTGACGCTGTCTCTATAAGTAAATCCCCAGACCTCAACTTTTGTATTTTTTTCAGGTGCCCAATGGTAGATTCAAATAGCTTTTGAATCAAAAAAGGAGAGCATTTGGACAGTGGTTTATCTCCCGTAGCATGTATTATCAAGTATGCAGGCTCGCTGAAAAGTTTTCCGCCATTTGTTATTTGTTGTTCTGTACTATGTTGGAGTTTTAGATTTTTAGAATCCATATTGTTCAAAAAAGTTCAGCTCCTAGTGACCCCACCCACCATGGGGCCCAACAAGGGGATGCCGTCACATGGGAGACTCCCATAGACTGTCACACCAGGGTTTCCCAGGAGCTATACCCTCACAATGCAGTCAAGAAGAGCACATCTTGTCTGACGTGTCCGCCCGATCTGCATCGATCAGTTGACTCCAAGCCGAGGTCAAGAATGACTCAACGACCAGCCGATTGACTCTAACGGAGCCTGATTTGAGCTCATCCTCATTGACTCTGACGTCTGGTGGCAAGTATATAGAACAAACTGTGACATTACTATAATAGAAATTCTGACTGCCACAGCTTGCAAATCAGTGGTTATTTGTACCGGTAAGGATGGGATGCGATTTGAAACCAAAATAGCCACTCTGCCACTGACACGGGTGTGGCTATCATCATCCTTGCGGTAGAGATCAAATCCTCTTAAAGAGATTTTTTTCTCCAGGTTTTAGATGGGTTTCCTGGAGTGCCATGCAGAGAGATGGGGTAGACGATGTCAAGTGTTTAATGTCAGAGAAGTTGTTGTGGAAACCACGACAGTTCCATTGGATTATTTTGTAATCCATTGTGTTTGAGGCAGCATTTTTAGCAAGGGCATCCCCCTTTAATTTCACAGGGTGTTTTTCTTTTGGGGGTGATGTTGGTTTCTTTCACGTCCATATTAGGCTCTTCGTCAGAGATATCAGAGAACTCACTCATGTATTGATTCTCTGATCTTTTAGATTTAGCGAGAGCTGCTTTTAATTTTTGTTTGTTAAGTGGATTCTTATTTGCTTTCTTTGAACCCACATCTCTGGTTACTACCGCTGCTTTAAGAAGTGGTGTTTTTGTCTTGGTACTCTCCTTTTCTTCAGTTTCTTTTGATTGGATTTGCAAATATTTTGCATGGCAAGTAAGAGATTCTTTTGGGGAAACAGAAATATCCGTTTAAACTCCACTTGTCTTTTTGGATTTCAAAACAGCCGCAAATGTCCTCTGTTTCAAAGGTGCACTTAACGTGACCATGCACCGAGCCTCTGGGTAAGATAGATTGTTAACTGTTTTCACGCACTGAATCTCTTTCTCTCTCTGCCATGCAGGGCATTTTCGGGAATAGGAAGGATTTGCATCTTTGCAGTTAACACACATGGGGTACAGGTACACTCAGTACTCTCATGACCTTCAGCCCCACACTGTGCACATACATTCTTGCCACGGCAGGATGTCTGTGAATGTCCAACTGCTGGCATTTGAAGTAGCGTAGTGGGTTTGGAACGTATGGTCGAACTGGACAATGCAGATATCCTGCTGTAATAACAGATGCAAAGTTGGCTTGTTGAATGTCAGAATTAGGTGTTTAGTAGGTATCACCCTGCCGTCTCGACAAATGGAGATGCGTCGGACATTAGTGACACCTTGATCCGAAAGGCCCATCAATATATCTGATTCATCTTCTGACATCAAACCTGCCTCAGATATCACACTACGTGATGAGTTTAGACTTCCATGTGGTGTGACTGTGACTTCAATGTCTCCCAATTTCTTTGCAGCTAAAAGTTTTGCCGACTGTTGAGGTGAGGCAGTTTCTACAAGTAGGTCTCCTGACCTCAATTTTTGTGTTTTGTTCAAGTGCCCTATTGTTGATTCAAATAACTTCTGAATCAAAAAAGGAGAGCATTTCAACAAAGATTTTTCTCCAATAGCATGTACTATTAAGTAGGATGGCTGACTGGCAGTGTTTACATTGGTTTGTTTTGGTTTCTCTTTATTTTTTGGAGTTTTAGGATCCATGATTAAACAATAATATTTCAGCTCTTAGTGACCCCACCCACCATGGGGCCCAACAAGCGGATGCCGTCATATGGGAGACTCCCATAGACCGTCACATCAGGGTTTCCCAGGAGCTATACCCTCACAATGCAGTCAAGAAGAGCACATTTTGTATGAAATGTCCGCCCAGTCCGCATCGATCGGTTGACTCCAAGCCGAGGTCAAGAATGACTCAACGACCAGCCGATTGACTCAAACGGAGCCTGATTTGAGCCTCCCGTTTATCCGAAGCAGGGGCCAAAGCAGTGTGTTGGGGACGTTACGTTGCCCCTCAACTACCAAGATCCCTCTTTCCGGCATACGGGGCACCATGCATGGCAAACACGTGGGTGGGCGTTCAGATCCCAGGGATGGTACAGAAGAGTTACTAAACCATCTCTGGGAAGTCCCCTCACCAAGAACAGGAACCCACATTAAGGATTTACGCAAAATAATGTTATGAATTTAAATAATGGCGTGATAATGCTGGGAAGAGTTGATAATACATAATAGTTGTAAATGCGATAGCACTTGTGTTAAGAATGTGCCTTCTACTGTATTACATTCTGATTGTACTGTGTTACGTTCTAGTTGTAGGGAACCCTGCTGAAGAGGCCAAAAAAGGCTAAATGCATTTAGGGTAAAATATAGTGTTAAATAAAAAATTTTTTCTGTTAAAATTAGCCTGTTTGTCCTTTATGTTTTTATACCAGTCTACAGACTTGGAATTTTTTAAGCCTCCAGAAGTCAGAAAAGAAAGGAGAATTATTTTCCGTGTACTAGTGAATAGTACAATTGGGTAAAGACAATTTATCTCACTCCATTGGTTTTTTAAATATTTTTATTAAAAAATCTTCTTGTTTATGGGATTCCTCACTCAAGCTAAATGCTTCTTTTATTCGATACTAACTGAATGAAGATATTTTCCAATTTGAACTGTCTATAATTATAATACAGGTATATCTCACCTTACATCGGTAATTGGTTCCAGGAGAGGCGACGTAAGTCAAATATACTTGTCTCCAAATATACTTGTCACTAGGCTAAACCATAAATTACCACTCCCAGTTCTGTATTTTATTTATTAATGCCTTTTTAATAATATATGGTTAATAAGGATCTATTTTAAGCTTACAAACAAACAAATTTCAGTTTTCAATACAGTATAGAAAAAGTAATCTAAATTTACAAATGCATGTACTGTAAATACAGTACATACTTGTAAATGTATATATTTTAATATTATTTTGTGTGCTTTAAATGCTTTTCTAGTGATATTGTGACTTCAATATTTGTGGTGTACAGATGTAAAGTCAAATAAAATGAGAAACTTGATTTTTATTTTTCTATATACTTTTTTGACAAACGAGATATAATCTGGAATGACGTAACACGAAATGACGTAAGTCAAGGTATACCTGTACTCCATAATTAAATAATGTAGGAAAAATGAATAATTTTATAACATCTATGCTATTTACCAACAATAATAACTTAAGAATGGTGTATCGGCGTAATCCTACGATAAATAGAATATTAATTAAGAAACGACAAGAGAAAAAAAAAATCAGGATACTAGGACAGGGGTGTATGCTATACCTTTAAAGGATCGTCGATTTAACTCGGATCTATTATATGTTGGTGAAACTATGCGGCATTGAAAGCAGAGGCTTAAGGAAAATAAATACTTCATCACTAAGAACATGGATAGTACTGTACTCGCAGATTTCGCTAAACAACAGGATATCAGCATTCATTGGGACAAAGAATCTATTGTTAGGGCCACGAAGAACAAGCAAGCGCTGAAGTATCTTGAAAAGCTGAAAATCTACAAAGCCCACATTAACACGGGCTGTATTAACCATAGAGATGCAGATGGTTTATCCACTGCATGGAAGTCATTTTACCATAGCAAATAATAGTTATCTTGTAATAGGAATATTTTATTATTGCAACAATAATTTGGTTATGTTTATTTTTATTCCTATATAAATAGTATGCACAATTTGTTCGTTTCTACTATGCAACTGCGTTTTACGTTGGAATTAATTTGAATTTCTAAATGTTTTCGTATTGCTTGTATTCTATTTTAGCATTCTTTTTTGTTTGAATTCGTTTAACTAATGAAGGCTATTAAAAATAGTCAAAAACGTTATTATCTTAATAAATAATAGTTTTATTGCTGGAGATAATAAGGTATTGTTTTTATTTTTATTTACCATTGATGCTACTTTTGCAATTATTTTATTATATGCTGCAAGGGCTCATGCAAAAATAAGGCTTACAAGATGTCCCGGTTTGATGATGTGGTCACGGCATCCCAGCCAGTTTGTCATTTTGTCCTGGTTATTGAGTTAAATTTTAAAAGTGTTGAATATACTATTAGTAAAAATAGTGTAGCTTGGGTAAAATGGCAATTTGGCAACTAAATAATCTCTTCTGTTACACTCACAGTTGCCAATCTAAATACTTTTAAAGTATGCTGTCTAGATGTTTTCCTCCATAATTTATAGCATATGGCCTAATGAATTAAGATGTTTTATTTTTTTCATCCAGATATTTTTTCACAGAATTTATAGTAGCATGTAGCCTATGATCCAGATATCCAGATATTTTTATTACATTTTTTGGATATTTTATTTAAATTACAGTTGACAACACTCATACTGGCCATGTTATTATTGTGCATATCCTATCTTAGTCAAGTTCAATTTGCTAGTTGGCATTTGCAATTATTTTGTATTGTATATTAAATTAGTTTAATCTCCAAACTTCCAAAAACACCGTATGTTTACTGATGATTGAAAAAAGGATTATTTGTCTTTGAAAAAAGTTGGTGATCGTATTGACGAAGTGAAATATAAACTGTGCTTTTTAGAATTTTCAGTAACTCATAGTGGGCATTCAAACATTAAAAATCACTTGAAATGTTTGAAACATAAGGCAACACTTGTAGCAATAGGAACTTCCTCAAATATATTGTCATATTTTAAAGCTACCAATTTAACTAACAAAGAATTTTTAAAGAAAGTTCACACTTGTGATAAATATTAATAAGTTTTTAAATTAATAAGGTTTGTTCAGTTGAATTATTAAAAGTTGCTTTTAACTCGTTGCTTTTTGTTAACAACTTTTTATATAGCCTTTTCAATCATAGGTACTTATCCTAGTAGGGTTTATTTTCTGTTGTATTTTTTCAAAATTGTTCCAATTTGAGACAAAAAAAATATTATAGTAAGCCTATGCATACAAATTATTTATAGATAGCTTATACAATAAATCAATTAGTTATACTAACTCTCTTTAAAATTTACAGATGAAAACAATTCAAAACCTTGGAAGCCAAGTGACTGGTCAACTGTCTGCAGTAAGCACTTTCTGGAATCAGATTATAAACCAGGATTGAAATAGAAAATATTGATTTGAAATGCTGTCCCAAGCATTTATCACGAATACCCATCCTATAACAAGGTTGTTTCTATAGAAGCCAGAAGAGAAGTAAAAAAGATTAGTCCCAAGAAAGGAGTTTGTACTGGTACCAAACGAAAGTATGTTCAATCTGAGCAACAAGTACACGGTTAAGTCCCATTAATGAGTCCAGTGGACGAAGCTATTTTTTTTAGACTATTAAAGCAGGTTGTATAGTTCCCACATGTGAACTTTCAGACTATGACATAAGGCCATCTAGTTCTGCATCTAGTATAGAAGTTTCTGTAGAGACAAGTTATACAATGTTAAAACTGAAGTCTGACAAGAGAAGACAGAAAACTTTCGAGCAGAAATGCAAGACACATGATCACACTATCAAGTGTCTATATTGAGAACAGTGTAGAATGAAAGCAGAAGATAAATTCTTAGCTGAAAAACTTGAAAAATATCATATAGAAAGCTTAGAGAATGACAGTGCCCAAGGTATCTTACAATAATTCACATGATAACATATTAATATTCCTAATATACTATTATATCAATATAGTACAGTACATTATAATACAAAATTGGTTTTATGTAGCCTACTATTGATTGTTAAATTTTTCGGTTGATTTGTGTTAGTGACTAATAGAATTATATGTATTTTTAGATAACAGCAAGGTAGATTTCATACTTAAACAGCTGTTTCCAATAAACAAAAGCCTCATTGGAGACACAACATGGTAAAATACTGTCTTACAGAGCAAAATGTCTTCTAGAACATATACATTTGCTAGAAAAACTCCACTTTTATAATTACCGTCAAAATCAACATTGGAAAGATATATAGGCTCTGTTTCAAGGGTTAGTGTGAGTTCCCTATTTAAGCAATGATAAACTCAGGAGGCAAAAAAGTTGTCACAAGTAGAAACATTACATTCGCTTATTTTGTATGAAATGACCATTAAACTTAATCAGCAATATAACAAACAAGCAGATAAAGTAGTAAAGACGACAGTAAAGACGAATGGCCTGGAAAAACAACTCGGACTTGAACATGTCGCAGCAAATAGTCTCCAGTTTTTTGTTTTTTTTTTAATTTCAATCATCTTCTAGCTTTGCTGGCCTTCGCTATTTTCCTATATGTGTGCTTTCAAGTTATTCTGTTTCTTCCACGTTTTCCTCCTATCTTTCTGCTGACATTGTGGAGGAAATCCTTTAAACTCCAAAGCATTTCTCGGTCCAAGGGAGTCATTTTCTTCAATTCAGGGACTTGAATTTCTAGTTTTCTTTTTTGACGTTTCTGCTTCTATTCTGAAGAAAAAAAATAGTCTCCAGTGTTTTGTGTTTTCAGGACTATTAAAAAATTTTCAAAATCCTGTTAAATATTTTTTCACCAGTAATTTAAAAGGTCAGGAACTTTATACTTTAACTTTAGATGTGATCCATTCAGTGGAGGCAGCAGGTCTAAAAGTACTCAGGATAATTGTTGATGGCCATAGTAAAAATGTTAAGTTATTTGAATTACTTAGTGCTGTCAACCCTCCAATTCCAAAGATTCCACACCCACTAAACAATTATCATTCAATATCATATGATCCATGTAATATATTAAAAACTTTCTGGTCTTCTTTCTCCAAGTAGACAAATGGTGAATCAAGGAAAACATATTAGTAATTTATTTCTCCGAAACTTGTTTCACCTACAGAGAGATCATGTTATTAAACCAGTAAGATGCTTATCTTTTAAACATGTCTATTTCTGCTAATGATGAAAGGCTCGATTGGTTAGAAGATGAGTTTTTGAGATATTTACACTCCTGGAAAGATAGCTGTGACAGTCCCAATGTTCAGTTTATCAGTAAGCAAAGTTATCAACCTGCTTGCCTTACAATCTGTTCTATGTATCAGCTATTTGTTGGAAAATGGTTTTGATTTGATATTAACCAGAAAACTCAATTCAGATGACATAGGGAACCTTCTTAGTGGACTGCAGTCCATGTCTGGATTAAATGACCAGACAAATGCCTGCAGAATAATGCAAGGACTTCATGCAATTCTTAAAACAGGATTAATTAGTGCATCCCTTAAAAGCAATGCAAAAAGCATAGCTTGTGAGGAATGGTTACCTCCTGATGAAGACATGCCCATTATTTGTAGATCAGGTATTATATTTTGATTAATAAATTACATTATTATTAATTAGATCTATTAATCATTGTAATAAAAATTTATTTTTAAAGGTATGCATAAATAAGAACCATACTATCAAGGAAGTTATTAAGCATATTGAGCCACAANAAGGCCACTATATTGAATACATGCCACATTGTTAGGAAATTCCTGAATACAGACACTGACACATTTATTTAATTTTAGTTTTGTTTTGGTTGCTATGCCTTGACTCTGGTCCGGCATAGTACACAGCCACCGGTGTGAACCGAGTAAAACTCACTAAACTCAACATAATAATAATAAATGCCTTGACTCTGGTCCGGCATAGTACACAGCCACCGGTGTGAACCGAGTAAAACTCACTAAACTCCACATAATAATAATAATAAGCGCAGAGCCCAAACGGTTAGGAGTTGAAAGTTGAAATTTGGTTCACAGATAGGGTACATCATGAAAACGCACACT